ATATATATATCGTCACACAATCTGTACCAGAATAAATCAAATAAACACTCTATGTATGCGGGGATAATTTGGAGTTTGGAGAGTTTTGAGTGTAATTACCTTGTATCTTTTGACAGAAATGGTAGCCAGGCATTCTCCAGGAAACAAAATCTGTAATAAAAATGATAAAGAATAAAAAAAATCAAATACAAGCATATGACACAATCAGATCCTAAACCAAACTATGCAAGAAAAAGAATCTGGAGTACATACTATTGAATAACAAACCAGCATACAGGAAAACACTTTGGTTTCTTTTATTGCCTAGTCAATGCAGTTATATTTTCTATTATTATCCTATTATGTAGGAAGCAGTTGTTTCATTTTTTCCTTTGGCGTGTATTAAGGAACCAGTTGTAAGTCTCAGCCTATATAAAAAGGCTTCAGTTTTTCAGCAATAAAATCATCTTCCTTCTTCGATTCATCTTCGTATTAAGAACACTGTGTGTGTTCAACAGTCTGGTATCAGAGCCAAAAGGCAGTAAGCAGCAACAATGAGTGATCCTCAAGTCATCGGTGGAGTCAAGAAACACAACAACAACAACTATAACTCTTGGTCTACATGCATTATGTCTTATATGCAGGGACAAGATTTATGGGAAGTTGTCAATGGAAACGATGTGGTTTCACCAGAAGCTGAAGATGCGAACGGAGTGCTTCGGAAGTGGAAGATCAAAGCTGGAAAAGCTATGTTCGTGTTGAAGACGACGGTCGAAGAGGATATCCTGGAGCACATACGGGAATCGAAAACTCCCAAGGAAGTATGGGATACGTTTACCGAGTTGTTCTCCAAGAAAAATGATACAAAACTTCAACTTTTAGAGAGTGAGTTGCTGTCGATAGCGCAACGAGAGATGACAATCTCACAATACTTTCACAAGGTGAAGTCTTTATGCCGAGAAATCTCTGAATTGGATCCACAGGCTCCTATAGGTGAAGCCAGGATGAAACGAATCATCATCCATGGTTTGAAGTCAGAATATAGGAGCTTTGTCGCTGCAATACAAGGGTGGCAAATTCAACCATCACTTGTTAAGTTTGAGAATTTACTTGCAGGACAGGAAGCCTTAGCAAAGCAGATGGGAGGAGTCTCACTGAAGAATGAAGAGGAGGCACTCTATGCTGAGAAAGGCAAATGGAATTCCAAGAAACATGTTCGTGGGTCCAAGAAGAATGACGATAAGACAAGAAATCACCAAGGCGAAAGAAGTCATTTTCTAAAAGGAGGTTCAAGGGATCCCACAATGGACAAAAAGTGGCACCGAAAATGCTACAATTGCGGGAAAATGGGTCACATAGCAAAGGACTGCTGGTCGAAGAAGAAAACTGTGGAGAGTAATGCGGCTACCTCAAAATCTGAAGAAGAATGGGATGCAGAGGCCATGGTTGCTGTCGCAAAAGAGGAGTTGGCACTCACGGCTACTGGTATTAAATGTCAAGTCGATTGTGATGATGACTGGATCATTGATTCAGGCTGTTCAAACCATATGACGGGTGACAAGAAGAAATTCAAGAAGCTGTCTAAATACAAAGGAAGCCATGTGGTGGTGACTGCAAATAACTCAAAATTGCCGATAGCTCACATCGGTAATACAGTAGTTTCCCTTCAAAATGACGATATCAAGATTCCACTCCAAAATGTTTTTCATGTTCCGGGTATGAAGAAAAATCTTATATCTGTTGCACAATTGACTTCGTCTGGCCTCTATGTTTTGTTTGGTCCACAAGATGTTTGGGCATTTCAGCATATTGAAGTTCCAAAAGAGCATGTGATGAAGGGACAAAGAAAAGAGTCGGTCTATGTGATGTCTGCAGAAGCTGCATATGTGGATAAGGCGAGACAAAATGAAACGCAGACTTGTGGCACATGCGACTAGGTCATGTTAGTTATTCGAAGCTAGACATTATGATGAAGAAGTCTATGCTAAAGGGGCTCCCACAGCTTGAAGTAAGAAAAGACACTGTATGTGTTGGATGTCAGTACGGGAAAGCACACCAGCTACCATTTGGAGACTCTACTTCCCGAGCAAATGAGCCACTAGAGCTGATTCATTCTGATGTTTTCGGTCCGATCAAGGAGGCCTCAACTAGTGGAATGAAGTACATGGTGACCTTCATTGATGATTTCTCAAGGTATGTATGGATTTATTTTATGAAAAATAAATCTGAGACATTTTCAAAATTTAGAGAATTCAAAAGGACAGCAGAAGGAGAAATTGGTAAGTGTGTTTGTTGCCTTCGTACCGACAATGGAGGAGAATACACTTCAGATGAATTTTCAGATTTCCTTCGGAGTTGCAAAGTGCGACGACAATTTACATGTGCTAATACCCCACAACAAAATGGAGCATCTGAAAGAAAGAACAGACACCTAGCAGAGGTGTGTCGGAGTATGCTTCATGCGAAAAATGTCCCTGGACGTTTCTGGGCGGAAGCAATGAATACAGCAGCCTTTGTCATCAACCGGCTTCCACAACAAAGGCTAAGTTTTCTCTCACCTTTTGAGAAAGTATGGAATTTGAAACCTACAGTTGGTCATTTTCGTGTCTTTGGATGTGTATGCTATGCATTTGTTCCTAACCACCTACGCAGCAAAATGGAAAAGAAAGCTGTAAGATGTATCTTTGTAGGATATGACAGCAATAGGAAAGGATGACGTTGCTGTGATCCTACAACTAATAAGTGCTACACGTCCCGCAATGTAGTGTTTGATGAAACTTCCTCGTGGTGGTCCTCTAGCAAAGAAGAACTTCCTGATTCAAATGCTCTGCAGAAGAAACTTGAAGTCCCCTAAATTCAGTTGCGCTTAAATGACGCTGAAATCGATAATGGTGATGAAAAAGACTTGGTTCAAAATTCTTGGCAGACTGGTGTACATCAAAGACTAGTGGAAGAGAGCAATTCCACTGAAGAAGTAGTACCAACTCCATTAAGAAGGTCGACTAGAATAAAGTATCCAAATCCCAAGTATGTTAACGCTGCCATAGCGGAAGAAATCGATGCAAAAGAACCTGAGACATTTGAAGAAGCATCCAAAAATCCTGAGTGGATTAAAGCTATGGAGGAAGAAATTGCCGCGCTGAAGCATAATCAAACTTGGGAGCTCATGCCAAAGCGAGAAGATGTGAAACCCATTTCTTGCAAATGGGTATACAAACTAAAGCGCCGCACAGATGGATCAATAGAGCGACATAAAGCTCGACTGGTGGCTCGCGGATTCTCTCAACAGTATGGGCTGGACTATGAAGAAACATTCAGCCCTGTTGCAAAGCTTACAACAGTGAGAGTTTTATTAGCACTTGCTGCAAGCAACAATTGGGATTTGTGGCAGATGGACGTAAAGAATGCATTTCTGCACGGGGAGTTAGATCGAGAAATCTACATGATACAACCGATGGGTTTCTATAGCCACAACCATCCTGAGTATGTTTGCAAGCTTCGAAAGGCACTTTACGGATTGAAACAGGCACCACGGGCATGGTATGGTAAGATAGCTGAATTTCTTACACATAGTGGTTATTTAGTGACATGTGCAGATCCTAGCTTGTTTGTCAAAGCTAATGAAGAGAAGCTAGCTGTTATGCTAGTATATGTGGATGACTTGATCATGACATGAGACTGGGAAGAAGAAATACAACAAACCAAAAAAAATCTCTCTGTTCGTTTTCAAATGAAGGAGCTTGGACAACTGAAGCACTTTCTTGGCTTAGAAGTAAATTATACTCATGAAGGAATATTTCTTCATCAACACAAGTATTCCACAGAATTATTGAAAAAATTCGGAATGCTTGAATGCAAGCCAATCTCAACACCAATGGAGCAAAATGCCAAATTGTGTGCACATGAAGGGAAAGATCTAGAAGATGCCATGATGTATCGGCAATTAGTGGGCAGTCTCATCTACTTAACGATAACAAGGCCAGACATCTTCTTTGCAGTTAGTGTGATGAGTCGCTATATGCAAAATCCAAAGAAGTCTCACCTAGAAGCAGTCCGACGAATCCTAAGATATGTCAAGAGCACACTTGACTTTGGAATTAAGTTCAGAAGGGACGAAGATTGCAAGCTACTTGGCTACTGTGATGCTGATTATGCAGGAGACCACGATACCCGACGCTCAACTACTGGATACGCTGTCATGTTTGGGTCTGGAGTTGTATCTTGGTGTAGCAAAAGGCAACCAACTGTGTCATTATCGACGACAGAAGCGGAGTATCGAGCAGCAACTATGGCAGCTCAAGAAATCATTTGGCTTGTGCAATTGTTGAAAGAGCTGCATCAACAAGTCAAGTATGATATCTTATTATATTGCGATAACCTATCAGCAATACGTCTTGCCGAAAATCCAGTTTTCCATGCAAGAACTAAGCATGTGGAGGTGCACTACCACTTTATCAGAGAAAAAGTCTTGCAAGATGAGATTAAACTGGAACATATTGGGACAGAAAACCAAGTTGCAGACTTATTCACAAAAGGATTAAGCAGCAACAAATTGGAAAACTTCCGTCAACAGCTTGGGTTAGTAAAACGGATTGAAGCTGGTATTGAGGGGGAGTATTGAATAACAAACCAGCATACAGGAAAACACTTTGGTTTTTTTTATTGCCTAGTCAATGCAGTTATATTTTCTATTATTAGTCCTATTATATAGGAAGCAGTTGTTTCATTTTTTCCTTTGGCGTGTATTAAGGAACCAGTTGTAAGTCTCAGCCTATATAAAAAGGCTTCAGTTTTTCAGCAATAAAATCATCTTCCTTCTTCGATTCATCTTCGTATTAAAAACACTGTGTGTGTTCAACACATACGGTCATATATAACAAATCAATTGATAAATGAATACAGATTTGTAATATTCAACAGCAAATGAAACCCATTCATCTTAAGTTCCCATCTCATCGACAATAAGATACACCAAAAAAAACCAACCGCGCGGTACAGAAACGAAGGAGAGTCAATCCCATCTAAACCTGCATATATATATATATATCACCATACAATCAGTACCAGAATCCTTCAAATAAATTTGTCGCAAATTCATTAAATTGACTAATAAACAATCTATATTGTGATAATTTGGGGTTTGGATAGTTTTGAGTTTAGTTACCTTGTATTTATCAACAGAAATGGCGGCCAAGCATCCTCCCGGAAACAAAATCTGTAAATATAAAAGATAAAAATCAAAATCAAATACAAACGTATCTTACAATAAGATCCTAAACCAAACTATGCAAGAAAAATAATCTGGAGTACATACATTCAAATATTTCTGAAGGTGCTTTGGCCTTTTCTTCGGTCTCTGGGACGGCCTCCCTCCTGTCATCAAAAGAATATCCTTTTCCACCTCCTGTGTGGTCAAAGGAACCGTAATGCTCAGCTTCCTCTTTGCCGGCGGTGACAGCAATGACAAGGATGGCTCAGTCTTTTCCTTCTTGTCGGACAGAGATGATTTGTTCTGGAGTGGCTTCCGTGGCCTCATGTTCCAGGTCTTGAAATCCTCACTAATATCTTGGTCGGCCTGTGCTGGTGGATTAAGATTTGGGAGAACATCTGCTTTGTCCCTTGTTGGGGGAAGTTTGATTTTGATTATGATTTTTGTTTTCGGTTTGGATGGGGATGAGTAGGTTTCGCAAAGTGTTTTATTTCTCTCTGCAGATTCAGAAGTTGGATCAAACGTGGCTGAGTGGCCGGCGGCAGACTGGCATATTCTGGAGGAAGTTTTTTCCGCCAGCCACAGATTGGAGACAGATTTTGCTGGAACAGAAGGACCTTTCGCCATTGCAGATGACCTTCTAGCCCTTGATTTCATGGGGTGGCGGCCAGCGGTCTTGCGGGTGTTGTGCTTCTTCCACTGCAGCTCTGGCGGGAGATTAAAATTGTGCAGCCGTAGTGGAGGCTTTCCGGGTTCGCTGGACGAAGGCATATCTTGATGACTGCAGTGAAATTGAGGAAGAACTTGCAGCAGCAGCAGGTTGGCAGTGTGGTATAATTAAGGTTGAAGAAAACCCAAACCAGATATGGCAAAGATTTAGTCTTTTATCGCTCCACTCTCACTGCTCACTCACCAAATCAATTATTATTATCATAATTATTAGTGTGGAGAGAGAGAGTGGTATAATTAAGAGACTGGATTGATAATAAATTTCACGTAAGACTTTGGGTTTGTCTCTAATAAACACTAAAAGACAAAAACCCTAAAAAAATACGGTACACAAACATAAAAACAAACAAAACCCTCCTTTTTATCAATCAACAAGTTTTCTGCAGCAAAACATAGCAAAATGTTATTTGACATCTGAATTTAGAGGACAAATAAAACAGTAGAAGAACTTAATAAGAGCGAAATCGGCTCATCTGAAATCAAAATCAATCTACCCCAACGAACAACAAACCAAATCTATCTCCTCTTAGAACAACAAATTTTATGATGTTTTTTAATAATTTTTACTTTTTTCTAAAAAAAAAAATCAAAAGAATTAATCAAAACTGATTTTTTCATCATGAAGAACTTCTTAGTCTAGCTTACACCCCGCATATATATGTGGAAAAAAAATGTCATATTTGTATGAAATAAGATGAAATTAACGAGGAAGAAAATATTTGTATATATAATAAGCATATATTAAGAGAGAGGTAGGGGATAGAACAATAAGTAGGACCCAAAATCAATGACAAAACATAAAAATCATCAACAATGTTGAACAACAATGAGAAGCAATAATCCTTCAATCTATAACGGAGTCCTTAGCACTGCTAGTGGTGTGTTTCTTCTCATTAGTTGTCCTCCACTTGATAAGTTGGATCCTCCAATTTTACAAAATAGCTCCCCACGTCACCTTTTAGATCGAGTTCACACCTGGACCTGCTCTTATGGGCTGTTGTAAAGCTAGACCAGCCCTAGAAGGTGAAAAGATATGCTTCTCTTGGGACCTTCTCCAAAGGTATTTAAAATTCTTCCTACAAAATAGCTCCCCACGTCACCTTTATGATCGAGTCCATACACGGACCTGCTCTTATGGGCTGGTGTATTGATCTGCTCATTTTGAGCCTTTCCGCAAGATCTTCGTTGAGCAAGTTAGTGATTCAGGCCTTTCGTTTTTTTATGGATTACAATTATAAATAAATATTGATAGAGATAACATGTTTAAAAGATAAAATTGGCAATTCTTTAATTCATGTTACTTTGGCTTGCCATCGCCATTTTGAAATATGAAATGATTAGGATTTTGTTAGAGCATGTGCATGGCTTTTCTATTCAAGACTTCTTCCATAACTAAAGCTTTTCGATATTTCATGCTCTTTTTGGATTTTAGAATTTTTTTATGAAACAGTATTTTTTTTCTTTTTAATATTGTACTCTCTCGTCGATGTTCTTAAGGTATATTTTTTATTATTTTTGTTTGTTCAAAAGTACAATTTGATATCTTCGTCACAATTAAAATATATACAATTTGATATCAAATTTTTAGTATTAAAAAATGCACAAAATCCCTCCATTCTACAACATGAAATCTTTAAGGGCCTAAAAAAAAAAAAAAAAACAACAAAAACAATTTGCAAATCTAAAACAAAAGTGCTCCCCTATTTTAGAAGTGTGTTCAAACCATTTTCCATCCCCAAAGCATAAGCTTACATCAGACTAGCTTCATCTAAATCTGCACATACATATATATATATAATCATCATCACACAGTCATATCAAACGAACTAATTACCAAATTTTGATTACACTGAATGATACATTAATATATATATATTACATGGGTATAATCTTTAGTTTTAAAATTTACCACGTATGTAACGTAAGAAATGTTGTCAAGACATTCTCAAGGAGACATAATCTGCAGTGCAAAACTAAAAAAAAAACGCAACATATTTATTAGGTACTTAAACTGATCTCTTCAGATCCTAATAAGGCAATGGATGTTATGAAATCTACGAATAAGAATCTGTATATGTGCGTACGTCATATGATTCTGAAGGTGCTTCAGCCTCTTCTTCGAGCGTCCGGGTGGCCTCATCCGTCCCGTCATAGAAATTATATTCTCTTTGATCTCACGCTGAGTCAGAGGGACCGTAATCCTCAGCACTATCTTCTTTCCGATCAGCTTACGGGGCCTCAAGTTCCAAGTCTTCACTTCTTCATAGGTGTCATCCACTAGTTTTGGGTCCTTCTGCAGCGCAGGTCTCAATGACTACCAGATCTCGTCTCGTTTTGTTCCGTGTTTTTCAATTATACTGGTTTCTTTGAGTGTGTTATACTTGTAATACATAGGAATATCATCTCGTCCAATATACATATAAGTATGAAACTACACATGTCTATCATAACTATTATTTTAACAGTTCCAATGCTTCAACGTGCACAAAAAATACACAAATTGCTAATAAATGAACGTAAAAAGAGAATTTATTGAACTAAAAAAATAAAATAAAAATCTATTGAACAACTATGTAAACGCACATTTAGGGCACCAATATTATATGAACATTATATAATAATAGTAAGGTGCTTTGGCCTCTTCTTGGGTTGCCAGGACGGCCTCCTGTCCAGTCATCGAAAGGATATCCTTTTCCACCTACTCTTTGCTCATCGGAACGGAGGCATTCTGTTTATTCTTCTTACACTGCAGGTGTAGCGGGAGAGTAAAACTGTGGAGCTGTAATGGAGGCTTTATCCGTTCCTCCAAGCAAGACATTGGGAAGGAAGAACAAAATGGCAAATTGGAAAGACCGAATTTGCAGGAAGGGTTCAAGAACAGAAATAATAGAAGAATTTTGGAGGAGATGAATACACAAACAAATTAAAATAGATACCCAATATTCACCCAAACTGCAAAGGACTAGAGCATGTTGTGATTTTGCAGGTTGAGTGTGTAATTTGTGTGCATGTTAACCTGCGAATTTCGTTATTGTAGTGATAATTAAAAGCTTTCTGTTATATTTATATCTATTTTCTCATTTATACGTCTCTTTAATAATTTTTTTTATCAACTTCGGTACTTTATGCATAACAATAATTTTTTGTTATAGTGCCGATTACTAGAATCAACACCATGCTGATATGATTTTTGCCGTACATCTCAAAATTATATTAATAGATGAGACTGGAGTTAGGGATTAAAATATAATTATATATTATAGTAATTATGAAAATATTTAATTATGCCTCTTACCCAATAACAAAAAGAATTCACGATTTTTAGCATGCTTTCCATATAAGCAATATATGATGTAAACCATAGAGGAATATGCTATCTAAAACTGTGAAATATATTTTAGTGTATATTATAAACAACCACCTCCAAAATATATTTATAAGCTTACTTGCGTTTGTGGACGATGCAAAAGCATTATGGTCATAAGCAACAAAAGGATTTAGCTGCATGTCTTCTAAAATTTATTCATCTCCTTCACATGGCAAAAAATGATCTAAGGCGATGGTTGAGAGAAAAACGTCTAGAAAAGCAATGGCCAATGTAGAAAATGGTTAAAATTTTCATGAAAAAAAATATTTTAAGAATACCTTCTTTGTTAAGAAGAATAGTTTTTTTTTTTTAGGCTCGCAAAATGTTTGCAATTATAGTAACGGATTACATAGTGCAGTCAGACATATATGTTTGCAATAGTTTTTCTAATCCATCAAGTGAAAAACTAATTAAGATGGGATCCAGGCTTCCAAATATTGAACACTCCCCCTAGAGTCGAAAATCCATACAAGATCCAAAACCCAATATGGGTACCATGGCTCTGATACCATGTTAATAAGAGATTTTGACTTTCAACCTAAAACTAATGGGTGATAGAGAGTGGCCCCTCACCCTTATAAGCCAAGGGGGATTCCACATTTTTCCAATGTGGGATATATTCAACACATACCAAGATGAAAGAAAAAAAATTTAAAAATGATCTACAATGTATACAATATATTGATTATTGTTGGAACAAGGAAGAATTCAAGACAAGGAGCATGCTTGATCTAGTAAGCTTAAAACATATTTAAGAGGATGTAAGCACATCCTGTAAAGATACGAGATTAAGGACAACACATGAAATAAGAACCGGGTGTATGTCCAAGATAAGATTGCAGTATAATTTGGAGTCCCGCACATACACGGCCACTCACTTCAATGATAGTCAAAACCATGAAGTACATCCTCCCAGCCAACAAACATATGCTAGCATCTATTAGGCGTCTGGACGAGTCACATAAGGCACCGGCACAAACATATGCTACCAACAACAAATAAAGTTACAACTGAAAGTGAACCGTAAATGGGACGACTGCCGGGCACCGCAATCACGCCGACGAGTTTAGCAAAGTCGATTTCCAACGTGGATCAATGTTGCCACTGAATGTGAAGAGGGATGGAATGTACGGCATACACATGACAATATATCATTGAATTACGGATAACATACGCATATACGGCCGATAGCACAATGTAATATGGTCAATATTTGCATAAAATTTAAACTATAATTAAATATGATCTTCTTAACTATGATAAAGTGTGTAATTAATATAATATTTGTTTCTTGCATGAATTAAATTTATTGTTTAAATTAAAAATTAAAAATAATTCCAAAAGTATTTCACTTTTATAAAAGTTGCCCATGGATCATTTTTATAAAATTTAATACTTCTTCCGTCCATTGTCAATCTTCCCATTTATATTTTGGGTCATCGTTTTTAAGATGAATACTATCTTTATATTAGTATAAGTTATTATACAGATGTCATTGTGTTTGTATTATAAGATATTAATAGAAATATTTTTGTCATTTTCTCATGATTTTTCTTACGTTTTGATATAATAATTAATATTCAAATATTAATACGCAAAAAATAAGTGGAAAAATTGGTGGTCGAGCGAGGGAGTACTATCAATAACTTGTTCAACATATACCATATATTTATAT